AGAGAGAGAGAGAGAGAGAGAGAGAGCTATAATACTACGATCGAAAATTCGCCTTAAGCCTTGTTAAAAAAAATTAGATTGATATTTTCCTGTCAGAGATAGCCATATTGATTCATTTACGGAGACAAAACAGCAGCAAAGACGATAAGGCTATCGGTGATTAGAAAATGAGAAATGAAGTATGGAAAGAAAAAGAAAGGCCAGCAGTCCTTAAATCTGTTTCGCTTTTCTTCAGTCGACAGATTTTAGTTGCCGAGGATCTAACCTTCGAGACTGCTTCTTTATTTTAAAGCTGTTAAAACGATGGAGAGATGAGAAAAAGAAATGTCTACTGGTGTCGTTGACAGCAGCAGATAAAATCGTACCCAGTAATGTCAATTAGTGAAGGAAAAGCGCTTTGGCTTTAAAGGTTACACAAGCCCATAGACCTATACAGTTAAAAACTACTGGTACAACTTTAAGCTTAAGCCACGGATCTTAGAGTAATTCGGTCACAGCGCTGAGCTGGATCTTAAAAAAGGAAGTCGCAATGCTACCCCGAGTTTTCGTCATGAATATAATTGACTTGAGGTTGTAAGACATAATTAAGATACGAATTGAATCAATCAAGATTGTTCCTTTCAATAATCATATTAATTGCACGACTTTTTAATTTGCCAGATAATTATGAATGACGAATAAAGTGGTTGATTTTAAATATTAATAAACAGGTTAATGAATTAAAACTAGTGACCCAACTTCAAGGAAGTAAGCCTGTTTTAAAGATAAATCAGAACAACTATTCAGCACCAAAACTCCAGTTGCTACAGTTGAGCCAAAAACTCTCTTTAAATTTGATCAGAAAAAGAAAATCAAAAAGGAAAAATATGCGAACAATTTTTACATAATGCTTATGTTTTTATTTGTGTGTATGAAAACAAAATACCCCAATATAAAGTATGTTCTGGGCAGTTACTGTCTCACCTGGAGAGTCTGAAGATCAAGCTGTAAAACTCGGGGCGTTATGACCATGACCTCATGCTCGCTGGACAAAGGTCGCACAGGCTGGTAGCTATCCAGGTCAAGGTCATAGTCAATGTCGCTGTCGTAAGTGGTAGACTGAGTGTCTTTGCTTGCTCTGAAATTAAAAAGGAGAAAAACAGAAAATGAGAGATAGGTAGATGTAATAATAGTAAGAAACATGATCAGATAAATATATCATGAAAATTAATTTTGTGTAATCATTTAACCTCGATTTATGTTAAGTTTTGTACTTCTGATTGGTCTGCTCAGCATCATTATTTCTTAATCCCCCCGCCCCGAAAAAAATTAAAGATAATGAGTGATCAAATGGGCAATAAATGTTTGTACAGACACTACTAAAGTAATTGGTTACACCAAGGGCCGATAACATAACGGCGTAGCTGAAATGCTCTAAAAGTGCAAATACGTGGCATGTTAGTGAAATCAGGCCCTCGTCAAAATAATGAAATCATAGAAGCCGATGTTTTCCCGCCCATTTGGACAACTTTTATTAATACTGTTTTTGGTTCAACACCTTTTTATGTGCTTTTAATTTTAAAAACACATTGCTGTGTGTCATTTACAGAAGAGAAAACTTGATCAAAGGCACAGAAAATTTTAATTTGCAGTTTCAGAGGAAAACCCGAGCTTTGAAAGTCATTAAAACTTGGCGGCCATTTTCTCGTTAATTTTACACCAGGCACCAAGGATTCCACCTCACAAATCACAAACATCTCAACTTCTTTTCGAGAGAGATCTGGGTTTTTTTTCGTTAGAAGAAAGATAAATAAACAAGATTTAAGATGACACCAATTTCTTCATATGTCCCAAAATTGACGGGCGTCGTAGAGAACAGCAATGTTTGAGAAAGTAATAGTAAACATAGATTTGATCATTGTTTGCCAGAAACTGTTTTTGAAAACAAAACATCTGAAAACACATTGGTACAGTAAGGAACAATTGCCTATCTGATTTCTTTGCGTTGCCGCGTTTTCATAGAGGGCTGAAACCACTTTCTAAATAAACAAATACATTAAAAAGAAATAGCAAAGTACGGTACACTGTAGTTCTTTTCTCTGTTTGAGAGACGAAAACAAACCATCTACGAAAGTGTAAGTGGCGACATCTGTGTTACTGCGTGTCGGGTACGTTTTTTTTTCTCCAGAGACTCATATCTTGTGTATCATCTGTGAGGTGCAAAGATTGTCCCCAGATAACCTCTTTTTAGAAAGGAAACAAAACTTTCTTATCAGCATCAATCGCGTGGGCGGTTTTTATATTGTTGCGCGAGCACGGTACAAGACGTTGAAGGGAGTGAACCATTTTGTAGTACTCAATCTTTATAGAGGATGAGCGGAAAAAATTGTTATTTCCTGAAAGTGCGCATCACTCATTTAACACTCGGTGTGTGTGTGTGTGTGTGTGTGTGTGTGTGTGTGTGTGTGTGTGTGTGTGTGTGTGTGTGTGTGTGTATGTGTGTGTGCGTGTGTGTTTATGGTATGTGTATGTGTGTGTGTATGTGCATCTTGTACTTTAAAAATCAGATATATTGTCAGGCAGGAGCCAAGAATAATAAAAGAAAAGCACTTGTGGGTACAACGTCACAGTAAAGTATCAGCTGCTTTTACCTTACTTCATATAATACAATTCAACCAATCATTAAAAAATAACAACAATTTGCGACTCTACCAAACATGTTTGCATGATGAACATGTTTGTTTAGCTGTTTACCCTGCATGCATCGCGATGAGGAATCTCCAGTGCTTCGCTTACTTGATGACGTCATGATTTTCTCCTTAAATTTTCAAGTATTTTTCACTGATTAGTAAGGACGTTCGGAATATTTTGCTCATTTGTATTCAACACATCACATACGGAAATATAACAAGGTTATTTGACCAATCAAATCGCACTGATTCTCAAAATCAAACTACAGCTTTTCTTCTTTCTTCAAACTCTTGAACATAAACAAGAAATCGAATTAATTTCATCATTTTTCTTCTCTACATGCGGGGCATGCATTGAGCCCAATTTTGCTGTGGAAAACTGGAAACTCCACCCCCCTACCCCCATACACACCACCCAGGCGC